GAGAGAGAGAGAGAGAGAGAGAGAGAGAGAGAGAGAGAGAGAGAGAGAGAGAGAGAGAGAGAGAGAGAGAGAGAGACTTCAGGCAGAGGTTATGTCGGGCCATGGGCCCAGGGTCTGATTCGATATCATGGGGCAGACATTGGTTGGGCATTCGGCAGGGAGACTATTTTTGGACTATGCTGTTGCGACTTTGGTCTCCTCCCTCCTCGACATCTTCGTCCTGCTCCCCTTCCTCTTCATCCGTGGATTCCTCGCCATGTGCGTGATCAAGGAGGGACCTTTCTTCCATGTATGCAGTCCCTCCCCTTCTCTCTCACATGTGTGATGTCTGATGAGGGTCGTGTCAGTACCAGTCAGGTCAGGTCATATCTTTGAGTCTTCCGCTGCACTACATTGTGCTTTGTATGTATATGGATGTACATTGCTTGTTGATGCTTCACTGATGCTGCATTCGAGTCCTTTTCATCACTTCGCGGATCGAGCATGTATCACCACCAGTACACCCGGGCCTGCAGCTGCCTTTCTGCGCGCCAAGCTTTTCCGAACCCCCAGTGGCGTACTTCTTTTCTTTTTTGGCTGGCACCGCCAGCCATTGTGGTCCGGTAGACTGAGCCTCCAAAAATTTTGTAGGTGACAAGTTTCTGTTTCAGCAAGGCTCGGGCCGTGTACTGGCGGTTTAGCAAGCTACTGGATTAATGTTATTGAGTTAAGAAAGAACTAAGGTTGGATTAAGCAATCTGATTAACATAGCAGCCTTTCTGCAACAGTCAGAAAGCTTCTTCGCTTCTTTTGACCCCCTTGGGGTAACAAGCTACTGGATTAACCTTACTGGGTTAACACTTACCTAAGTTAGCGTAGGGTGAACACATAGTTCGCTTAGCAAGCCCCTCTGTCTAGCCTCCTCTGGCACTGAAATCATGCTGCCCTCTTGCAGCCTCTCCCAGGAGGCTGCCAAGTCTTGCAACATTTTCCCCCCTCCCTCCTCCCAGACATGAACCGCATCATCAGTGACCACATGAAAGTACAGTGATTTATTTAACTCGGGTCTCTATTTCATCAGTTCATGGGTGTACCAAGATTTAACGGAAGAACGGGTGTGATAATTGCTAGGAAGGGTGCGAAGAGACAGGGGAAAGCAAAACCAAGATTTAACGGGATCAAGAAATAAGGAAGGGTGCGAAGATAGGGAGAAGAAGACAGTTACAACTCACTGATGATGGCGTGAAGAACGGGTGTGATAATTGCTAGGAAAGATCACATGCAAGAGCGCGGGTGCAGAGAGATGTATTCTTGAGAATCGTAAGGGCTCCAAAACAGTTACGCAATATGTCAATGATGTTGCGCCTAATTGCTAAGGCCAAATCGAAATTGAAAAGTTTGAAAAGAAATCCCTCACACGTGCACTGAGGCGCGTAATTCCGCCATTCTGAGTCATCAACAAAATTTCATGGGGTGTGCACGGATGTCTCCAAAATTTACAGGCGAACAGAAAAGGACCTGGTGAAAAAGTATCCCGACAGGCGCTCATGTTCGCTGAAACTAAAAAACTCAAAGCGAATGTCCGAGCACGCTCGCTAAGGGCGTAAGGCGCCACCTCGTGTGCAATTTCGCCAGTACCTTTCGCAGGCAAAGGTTTCCGACACCTCATGTGCAATTTTCGGATGAATAGTGCTACCAGATCCAAATCGCTGGCGATGCCAGGCGGAAAAAGAAGCAAAATGTGCCTGCCCTGGTTTGTTTTCTTTTAGCGTGCATGGGAAACCAAGGTTGGGAAAAAGAGGCTCGGAGGTACTGGTAGGTTAAAGATTGTACAACCTATGACCTTCTTCTTCTTCTTCGTGTTCTTCTTCTTCGTGTTCTTCTTCTTCTTCTTCTTCTTCTTCTTCTTCTTCTTCTTCTTCTTCCTCTTCTTCTTCTTCTTCTTCTTCTTCTTCTTCTTCTTCTTCTTCTTCTTCCTTTTTTTCCCCCTCCCCCCCCTCCTCCTCCTCCTCCTTCTCCTGTACTTCTTCTTTTTCTTCTTCTTCTTCTTCTTCTTTTTCTTCCTCCCCCTCCGCCTTTTCCTCTTCCTCTTTTTCCTCCTCCTCCTCCTCCTCCTGTTCTCCTTCTTCTTCTTCCTCCTCCTCCTCCTCCTCCTCCTCCTCCTCCTCCTCTTCCTCTTCCTCTCCTCCTCCTCCTCCTCTTCCCCTTCTTCTCCTTTGTTTTCCTCTTAAGATGGAACTCTTAACATTGCTGTGTCCAAAGGGGATTTGGATGGCCAACCTGCTTTTAGTCAGAGCTTATATCCGTATTAATCTACCGTCAGATGGGAAGTAACACGGTGGTTGGTTGCAAAGGAGATGGAGAGAATATCCCAAAGAAGTTTGCTGTCAATTTATTTCCTTGACTTACTCAGATATCTTTGCCCTGAGCCGTATCCAGAGGTCAATATTGAATTCCTGGAGAAAAATGGGATCAAGCTCTTTCATTTTGGGATTGAAGGGAACAAGGTGACGAAACCCTGAACCCTAAACACCCTAAACACCCTAAACCCTAAACCCTAAACCCTAAACCCTACGTGGTAAATCCTAAACTGCAAACTCCTATATCCTAAATTATCATCTCTTAAAGAATCTAAACCCTAAAGTATACGAGTGATGTTAGTTATATGAGCAAACATATCCCAGTAGAATTGTGTGTTAGTTATATGGACAAACAAATCCCAGTACAATTCTGTTCGTCAGCTTTGTCTGGAGTCTGGAACAATTGTGCGTTCCAGGCTTGCGACAGACGAGCATGGTTGTTTTAACCTTTCTTAATTCTTCACCTAGTTTTGACCTTTGACAATAAGTGTGTGTGTGTGTGTGTGTGTGTGTGCGCGGGCGTATGCGTGTGTTGTCATGTTCGCTCTACACAACTCCACAAACAATAGCATGACTGTGCCACACTGCTTCATTCGACTTTCATGGACTCATCAGGAGGTTGCAACCCGAAAGTCTGCGTAGGATGCATTTAACTGATCAAGAAGGACTCGCCAGGTCGTCCAGAGTTAGCAATACCCCTGAGAAAAGTGGTGGACTTTACTCACACCAATCCTGCAATTGTAGCAGACTGTCGGTCCAAACCCCTGACAGGAATGGCAGTAAGTCTGAGAAACTAGTCTGTCACAGATAAAAAACCCACTCTACACACCCACTCACCCATGGACATGCAATGTCATGACCGCTAGTGCGGTCACAACTCTTTGTGTGTGTGTGTGTGTGTGCGTGTGTTGTCATATTCACTCAAAAAAAGAATGACTGTGCCAGACTGTTTCGTCGGACTTTCACCGACTCGTCAGGAGGTTCAAGTGTGTGTGTGTGTGTGTGTGTGTGTGTGTGTGTTGTCATATTCACTCAAAAAAAGAATGACTGTGCCGGACTGTTTCGTCGGACTTTCACCGACTCGTCAGGAGGTTCAAGTGTGTGTGTGTGTGTGTGTGTGTGTGTGTGTGTGTGTGTGTGTGTGTGTGTGTGNGAGAGAGAGAGAGAGAGAGAGAGAGAGAGAGAGAGAGAGAGAGAGAGAGAGAGAGAGAGAGAGAGAGAGAGAGAGTTTTCTTCACAAGTTGTGAGTTTGAGTGTGCTGTGATACGCACTTCGTTTCTTCTCTTCCACCGTCTCTGCCCTGGCATCACCAGTTCATCGTATCTGAGCTGCATTGGTTAGTGGACTAATGTGCTGGGAGTTTTGGAGTCCTTAAGTGAGATCAAAGATGCATTAGTGCATTGATACCCTAATGCTCAGGGAAGACAGAATACCCAAAAGCTTATAGACTCTTCCGAAACTCCCAGAGGATTAGTGCATTGAGGCACAGTAACATACATGATGGTAGAGACCACTTGCCAGAGAGAGCTTGTGAAAGTACGTGGACAGTGGATCAGTGAAGAACTGTAATCACCAGCCGTCATTTCCGCTTGGTCTGAGGGCTCAGCGATTACCTATGGCACTCACTCCCTCTTTTCTTCAATTATCCAGACGCTTATGCCGGATGGAATGCACTGAGTAGTTTTGGCTCTTATCTTTCTGTTGTAGGAATTTTAGTTTTTTTTGTGGTTGTTTATCTCACTTTAACCAGTGAAGTGCGCGCTCTGCAAGCGCCTTGGGCAGTTGAGTCAAATTCAACTACACTTGAATGGATGGTACAAAGTCCTTCAGCTTTTCATACCTTTGAAGAACTTGAGACCTGTGAATGATGTGACGGAGATATTTTGGGGGAAAAAAGGAAAAATACATATGCTACCAATACCCTCTGGCTGGATGGTACACACATGTGACTGTTGTTAAACAGATCTTGAGTTCAAATCCCGATGTACAAAATAAGATTAGGGGCTAACACCCTTTTTCAAAGAAAAAACTTCAAAAAGATACATATGCTGATAATTTGGTTATTATCATAACAGCAGGATCCAGAGCAGATGCTGTCGAGATCGAAAGGTCCGACACTTGCATTACGGTCTTCCCCCAAATAGAATGTGCGACGGTCATTGTCTCTGTATCTAGACTGAATGTTGCCCGGAATTCAGCTAAAATGACTGTACGTTCTATTCGGGGGAAGACTGCATTGAATTAATAATGCGCTTGCATTAGGGAGTCGAAAGCGATTGGATGCTGCATCCGCTAGACAAGAGAGGTATTATGTTGTTTTATTCTTTAAGTACTTTACCCAGTCCTGAGCATTCACACTCAGCCGAAGAAAAAGAGGAAAAAGTTCGAAAACCATTGTTCCTCTCAAATACAAGAAAAAAGAAACAAAAAGGTTCCACTAAACTCTTTCCACTACGATAGTTCATCAGATCTCTTTGCTGTCGTGTCCCTTCTTCCCCCCCCCCCCCCCCCCACCCACCCTCCCTCTTTCTCCCCCTTCAATGGTCTTTCTGGGAAACAACTGTGACCAAAGTTTCACTCTTTTATGTGGCTCCCTGTTTTCTTCCCCTTTTCCTTTCCCCCCTCCTCTTTTTTTTTGGCTATCTCCAGGAGCCCTTTGTTGACATTCCTGAACCAGTTATCCGCGAGGCGCTGAAGGTCCTTCTTGGTGAGTTCTTGGCTTCAGAGTTTTGTTCGTCCCACGAAAGAGGGGCCCATGAAGCAAGAGAAGGCTTGGAAATAGCCAAAAGGAAGACAAGAAAAGGAAGAAAAGAGAGAAAAGAAAACTGCACAGAAAAAGAAAACAGTAGTGTGCCTCATGCTGCCTCCTGTTTTCTTCATTTGTTTCACAAAGTGCGGTCTTTTAGTCAATGGGTATGTGACAGTATGCATATATGTATAATGGTCCTCGCTCCCCTGCACAAGCGTATAACTGAATGTGGTACTTATCATGGTGCTCATTCATTCCAAATGTTGGATCGATCCCAAATCCACGTGGTCAACGGACCTGTCCAGACTCCAGATACATGTGTAGTAGAGTGAGGCCCAGTGTTGTCTATCGCATTATCGAAGTATTTGCTGGCTTGTGATGAGGTGTGAACCTGTAGTCTGTTCTGTATAGAGTCTGCCGTCCGATGTTGGAGGGTGGGTGATAGATACTAGATAGTCTGCGTTAATTTTAATAAAAAAAAGGTACCCTTGAGGGCAGTGGTTAGTGCCCACCTCATTCAGGAAAAAAAAAAAAAAAGGGTAGCAGTTGTGGGGCAGCGGTTGATGCCCAACCGCAACTCGGGGGCTAATGTAGGCTTACGAAAACTCCGATGACACAATCTGTTACAGCCGCCCATTTCTTGTCGTTTTCTTCCTTTCTGCCTACGCTTCAACGAACAGCTCTCTGTGTCTCTGTGATGATATATACACATATGTGACAGACATTTCTTTGTTTCGTTGGTGTTTTGCTGGCTTGTGATGAGGTGTGAACCCGCAGTTTGTAGAGTTTTCGATCTGGTGCGGGTGAGTGATAGTCTGCTTTGATTTCCGTCACAGGTGCCTTGAGGGCAGTGGTTGGTGCCCACCTCAAGGTATCAGTTGTTGGGCAGTTGTTGATGCTTAACCACAACTGGGGTCAAGGTGACTTAGGGGACTCTGCAGACTGTAGAGGGTTCAGCCTCCTGATGAGTCGGTGGAACTCCAACGGAACAGTTTGTCAAAGCCCCTGGTTTGTTGTCCTCTTCTCCCTCTCTGCCTACGGTTTACAGGGCAGTTCTCTTTGACGCTATATACGTACTTGGGGCCCACTTGTATCGCTGTACCATGCCCAGGGGCAGACTTTGCCATTCCCACTTCTGGGCGCCGTGGTAGTGCACTTGCAGGATCGGGCCTGCCTGCTTCACATCTCCCCGACAAGGAGGTGTTTCTTCTGTGACCAGATTCCGCGGAATAGAGTGTACGGTCACTATACTTGTATTTGGCATAGCTTGTCTGTTTAGATAGAGCAATAAAGACCGTACATTCTATTCCGGGGAAGGCGGTTGGGAAGGTGGTTGATGTATGTTGCACACAAGCGTAGAAATAGGGAGTATGTTACACATCTGATTCAGAATGTCATTGTTCATCAGTGTGCTCGTAATTCAGATCCTGTTGGGAGCCTCTGGAGTTCACTTCGCTCAGGGGACTTCATTCGAGAAGAGGAACTTCAGGTCTCTTTTCCTCTCATCACCTCAGAGAAGCAGTTGGAAGCAGTGAATGGGAAAGTCTCTGTACAAGTAATGTTATAGGGATTTGTGGGACATCCTCTGAACACTGAACAGAGGGTGTCTTTACAGACTTTGGGAGTGACAACTGGGAAGAGGTCCTACACTAACCCGTCGGGAAGATGTCCCACACTAACCCGTTGGGAAGAGGTCCCACACTAACCTGGATTCCTCGTCTCCAACCGTTCGTTAAGGAGATGAATGGCGGAAAATGAAAAATTATGGTATGGTCACGCACATGTTAGAATAGAAGTACATAGTCTCTCACCGCAAGCGGAGTACATAGTCTCTCACCGCAAGCGGAGTACATAGTCTCTCACCGCAAGCGGAGTACATAGTCTCTCAC